CTGGGGTGGGCGGGGCTTGGGGAGGGGCGGGGCCTCGGTGGCAGTGTTCCCTCTAAGCTGAGTGCGTGTGAGCCAGCTTGCAGGGGTTTTGTAGCCTCCGGCTCGCACGTTTCTGCCGCAGCTCAGGAAGGAGGGCTCCGGAGCGAACGGACTGATGCCGCAGCCGATTCGCTCGCTCACCACTTTCGTGCCGGTAACTCCGAAGGGAGACGTTTTGCTCACGAGCAATGCTCCCTCTAAGCTGTGGAGTCTTGTGAGCGAAAATTCTACCTTGTGAGCCACTGGCATTCAAGTGGTGAGCAGGGGATTCGGCTGCTGCATAAATGAGTTTGCTCTGGAGGCCCTCCTTCCTGAGCTAAGACAAAAATGTGTGAGCTGGAGGCTAAAAAACCGTGAGCTGGCTCACACTAACTCAGCTTAGAGGGAACACTGCCACGGGACTCCACAGCTTAGAGGGAGCACTGCAATTTCAGCCGCCTCCAGCCTTAAGCAGTGGTTGGCTGCCAGTGTTCCCTCTAAGCTGAGTTGGTGTGAGCCAGCTCACAGCTTTTTAGCCTCCGGCTCACACATTTCTGCCTTAGCTCGGGAAGGGATGGCTCCGGAGCAAACTAATTTGTGCGGTAGCTAAATCGCTCACTCACAACTTTCATGCCAGCAGCTCACAAAGCAGAATCTTCGCTCACAAGACTCCACAGCTTAGAGGGAGCATTGCTCAGTGGGCTACTAATGCTGCCGTAGAGGCCCCCTCCCAAAGCGGCCATTTTCTCCCGGGGGGGGGATGGACTCACCTCTGTCCACCTGGAGGCCGGTTGTAATGAGGGGGGCTCTCACTCCAGCCATGGCCTGGAGGTTAGGAAGCCTAGGAGCGGGCCCAGCGCATTGGAAAGGGTTTGCCCGTGCAGGTAGTTCCAGGGAGACCCCGCAGATGAAAGGGCAACGAGACCCAAGGGATTGCCAAGGGAGGTTTGCTGTCGACTGCAGCTGTAAGCGCCTTGGGGGCAGAGACCTGGCTTTCCCCCCTTGCTTAGACAGTTACCCGCATCCTATATTAATTAAGTATTTAATCAATGCACATTTAGAAGGATTGATTCAGAATGGCAATCTGGCCTGTGTCAGGGCCGTGGCATGCTGTCATAAGGTTGCCAACCTCCAGGTGGGCTCTATGGCGTTATACCCCAAACCCTGTCCTCCCCAGACTTCACCCCCAAATCTCCAGGAGAGAGAGAGAGATAGGGCTCTGTAGTGGTGAAGACTGTCGGACTGTTATCAGGAAGACCCAGGTTCGAATCCCACTTGTGCCATGGAAGCTTGCTGGGTGACCTTGGTGCAGTCAGACTCTTTCAGCCTGACCTACCTCTCAGGGTTGTTGTGAGGATAAAACGGAGGAGAAGAGAAGGATGGGAGCCGCTTTGGGTCCCCATTCAGGGGAGAAAGGCCGGGGTATAAATGACTTCAATAAATAAGCAGTAAATTTCCCAACCCGGAGTTGGCAGCTCTGCTCACAATGCACACGGGCAGACTGGCACGTCGGAGAACCCTGATTGGCACCGTGGCTGATCTCCTCCTTGGCCCAGAATTATGGCTTCTGACGGCGCCAGGCTCACAACAGCTTGAGAACCGCCTCTTTGACCCAAAGGAGCACGAAGCCAAAGTGGAACATAAACGCTTCTGTCTTTAATGCCATTGATTCGTACATTTTCCTTGCTGTTGCTTCTTATCACAGTTAGAGGGTTTGCTTTTTTTAACGGCTTGGGTCCCAAGCAAGGCAATCTACACCAGTTTGGTGCAGTGGTTAAGTGCGCGGACTCTAATCTGGGAGAACCGGGTTTGATTCCCCACTCCTCCACTTGCACCTGGCTGGATGACCTTGGGCAAGCCACAGTTCTGTCAGAGCTGTTCTCTCAAGGCCCCACCTACAAACTCCTCTCCCTTCCCCTCCCCACCACAGACACCCTGTGAGGTAGGTGGGGCTGAGAGAGCTCTGACAGAAACGGCTCTTTTTCAAGTACAGGTCTTATCAGAACTATGGCTTGCCCAAGGTCATCCAGCAGCGGCAAGTGGAGGAGTGAGGAATCAAACCCGGTTCTCCCAGATTAGACCCCGCGCACTTCTCTGGCGCTTTCACAGATGCTAAATAATGCAGTTCAGCGACTGTTTGCGAGAGGGCTTTGCCATTGCCCACGGTAAAATCCCGTTGCAAAGTGCATTGAAAGTGCATTATTCAGGGTGTGCGGAAGCGGAGGGCAGTGCTTTGGGATCGGTGGTCCCTTGGCGGCCTGGCAGTTGCCCAACCAGGTCCCCCCTTTGGAAACAGTCCTGAGAGTATAGCAGCTGACCAGATCTCCGTTCCCTTCTGTGGTCTCATGCAAGCCATACTCTTAGGCGGCCCTGTCAGCAGGGAATGACCTTGCAAACCCTGAGGGGACTGGGACCAAGGCTCCCGCGAGAACCTGCCCGAGAATCCCCAGTTTCTCCCTAACCCCTCGGTTGCCCCCGCTGTCAGCCAGGAGGTGGGTGACGATGTGAAAAGGCCTTGCTTGTGTTGGCCCCTCAGCCGGGGCCGCAAATGGTCTCTGCGGATTCGGCACCAGGCCGAAGCGTCTCTTGAGCATTTGGTGAGCTCTGTTTAGCAGAGCCCTCCCTTCCTGGTGTGGTGTGAGCTTCCCCCCCCCTCTTTTTAAATGGAGGATGGCTGGATGAGGAGAACGTGGAGCGTTCGGTTTTCAAGCGTTATTGTTGGTGCTCGAGTTTTTGTGTGTGGGGGGGGGTTTATCTGGGAGCGTTTGGATGGGGGTGGGGTAGGAATCTCGGGAGGAAGGAAAGGGAAAATTGTCCTCCCGAGGGCAGGGCTCGGCGGGGTCGCTTTGCCCACGGAAAGTCCCCAGTTCAATCCCCAGCAAGTAACAAAGAGCTGTACCAGCAATTCCCTCATCTGAGACCTTGGAGAGGCGCTGCAGGTTGGAGGGATGTGCTTTATGTCAGCTGCTCCAGGCACTCAGGAACTGCTGTCTTTGTGGTTGATCTTCCTCTCTGTTGCTAGCAGTGAGGCAGAATCTGTGCCTGCCTGGAAAGAGGAAAGGTTGCATCTGCTGGGGGGGGGGGGGGGGGCTGGAGGGGGCTCATCCCCCCCCCCCCCCCGAAGACACCACTAGGATAAATGGAACAAGATGTGAGTCCGGGGGCACCTTTAAGACCGACACGAAAGCTGATACCCAGAATTAAACTTTGTTGGTTCACCCAGAATTAAACTTTGTGATGAACACGTGGAATTCACTGCCACAGGAGGTGGCGGCGGCTACAAGCATGGGTGGCTTCAAGAGGGAACTGGAAAAACATAGGGAGCAGAGGCCCATCAGTGGCTATGAGCCACAAGGTATAGATAGGTACTCTGGGGCAAAAGATGCTCTGTCTTCTTGGTGCTGAGGTGGGGGCAAGAGTGGGAGGGCTTCTAGTGTCCTGGCCCCACTGCTGGACCTCCTGATGGCACCTGGTATTTTTGGCCGCTGTATGATGGAGAGAGGAGCTGCGGTGGCTCAAGTGCTTAAGACGCTGAACTGCAGGCTGTGGAAGGTCAGTAGTTCAGCAGTTCAAGACCCGAGTGTGCCGCATGACGGAGTGAGCTCCCGTCTCTAGTTCCAGCTCCTGCCAACCTAGCAGTTCAAAAGCAACAAATTGCAAGTAGATAAATAGGTAGCACTTTGGTGGGAAGGTAACAGTGTAGCGTGCGCCTTGGTGTTTAGTCATGCCGGCCACATGACCACAGAAACGTCTTCGGACAGTGCTGGCTCTTCGGCTTTGAAACGGAGATGAGCACCGCAACCCTAGAGTCGGATTCGACTGGCTTTCGAGCGAGGGAACCTTGACCTTTACCTATGATGAAGAGTTGGACCAGATGGGCCATTGGCCTGATCCAGCATTGGCTTCTCTTAGGTACTTATGGTCTTCGAGGTGCCCCTGGACTCACACTTTGTTCGATTGCTTCGGACCAACACAGTGACCCACCTGAATCTATCTGAAATAAATGGGGCTCCGCTGTGGTCCAGAGAGGCAATTCTCGCCTTCCTATTTTACACATGAATCTTTTGTTGTTGTTTTACCCGCCACTTCATGTTCAGGTGTGTGTCCAGCCACACCTGGCACCTGATTCGCCTCTTCCCTCCCTGCGTCATTCTGAATTGACCCCTCCCCCACCCTGTAGATTTGTTTGCTTGCCCCCCCCTCCATTTCCTCTTCAAAAAACCAAACTGCAGGAGAGATGGAGGAAGCAGTGCTTCTATCCTCCCTTGTGCCAGGTGAGACCAGCGCCCAGGTGGGCCTTCGAGGGAAAGGCAGGCCTGGTGTGAGCAGCACCAGTTGACCAGGCAGAACTCCTCGCACACCACTACCAGGGGCCTTCCAAACTCGCTTTCTGCAAAACAGGC